ATTGTTTAGAGAAATCACAGGCATCGATGTTCTGCTAGATCTAGTTACAAGGCCGAGGATGGAGGGAGGCTCTGTTTTAAATTAGGCAGGGGCTAAGTGGGCTTGCTGGATACAACAGGACACAAATGAAAGAAGTGAATGGGAAACAACTCTCCCAACAAACCACTTACACAGCCTAATCTAGATATCTCTCAGCTGAAGAATTGAATACCCCTGGGTATTCGTATGTATGTTCAGCACTTGTAAGGCCATTGATACAAGGATGAAGTCAATGTCTCGCAAAAACAGCTGAGAAATTTCTAGATCAGGCCATGTAAGTGGTTTGTTGGGGAGAGTTGTTTTTGCAGAGTTTATGGCAGGAATGCGTAAGAGCATGGTGCAGGGCATGGTGAGGAGACTGGGTGGTCTTACTTGTTCTGCCTATAAGTTGGGAAGGGCTAGGAAACATCACCCTGAGGGTTTGCTAGAAGATTGCCAGTGTGTAGCTTGAAACACCTCTCAGCAGCTTGGTCTGAGCAGCTTGGCTTCTGCGTCAGCAATGGCAACGCTTTCCCTTCGGGTGCCGGGCAGGACAGCACCCATGAGAGCTTCTGGCTGCTCCTTACCTTGAGGTAAGCCTGTCCTGAGAGTGCTCCGTGTTACGTGAGCCCACAGAGGCTTGGGGACCAGGGAGAACCTCCCTCCGTTGTAGTCCAGTCACTTCTGGATATGTCATCTTATGTTTCATTCACATAAATATCTCTCAGTGCTCTAGGCTGTTCAGTTAACTATCATGATGGTGCCTTTCAGTAAATTTTGGTTCCTAAAGCTTGCACACAGCCAACAGTGCTGATCTAAAAAGTAAAAAAGTGCTGATGTAAAAAGTAAAACAAGTTAAGTTAAGCTCATAGAAGGTAAAACAAGTTCTCAGGATAGCACCTGGGGCATGCATCATCCTTTGGCTCTTTGCAGCCAGAAGAGTTTGATCCTGAGTTTGATGCCTAACGAGAAACCCTGGAGACACAAGGAGATCCAAATTATATTACCGGAGCAGCAGAGATGGCATAAATCGGGCTGTAATTCTAGTAGAGTCCCGAGGCATGGCATGATTTCCTGGCTAGCTTCAGGCTTTGGGATGCATTAAGCAGTAAGAAATGCTGGGCTGAGGGTTTCAGGTGGGATTCGGATAATGAATATGGTCCTAACTGAGAAAGTACTGCCAGGATTTTTCTCCCCGTAATACTTCTTTTCTGTGGTGTGTGTATACCTGTGTATACATACACATTTATATATATCCTTTGGGGTATAATGATATTATTTCTCCTGGTTTGCAAGTGAATTATTGTTTTGAAGTGTAAGCATGGGCTGTGTGACATGGGGACAAGACAGTGTGGGTAGTTCATGAGAGGATTTGCCCAGGATGGATCCCAGGGCACTTTCCCAACAAAGCAGCTCCTGCAGGGATAACGTGCTTAATTATTAAACGCGGAAATGAAACCGCTACCTTGCTATTCCCTCAAAAGATCCGAATACCTGACGACTGTCCAGAGCTAATTTTATGGCCGATAATTTAATACGCGGCACAGATAAACTGCCTACTTAGATTGAATACCAATGATGTTTCGGTGCCATGAATTATGGCCTTATGCTGAGCATCTCTATGGCAACTAATGACATCACCGCAGGCTCCAACCTGCACAAAACCCAACTTCGGAGGGTCTCTGCTCGTTGGCATGGATCTTTTCGTGGCTTTTGGGGGGATAAATAAGCAAGCACCACGGTGTTGTCAAGGGTTTGCTATGTATGTTTACTGTCATTTGAAACATTTATTCCCTTTGTGGCTAATGTTGTTCTCATGAAGGAAACCTAATGAAAATTACTGTTTGTATTTGGTTAGTAACATTTGTTGATAACATATGGTCTGGGAATGCTTCAGCAAATAAGAGCTTTTTAATAGTAAACAGAGATATGAGTTCTATAAAGCAGATGCTGTCAAAATACACAGCGTAAGGTTCGATATTTTCTTACTTTCTCCTCTTATCCAAAGCAAGATTATCGCTCTAATTTTCCCTGCTGGTGACAATGCAGGTTTTTTTAAGAGAGAAAACATAATCTGTGACCTGAATCTGTAATTAGAAAATAAGGCTCTTTCTTGGTTCTCATGTTTAAAACATTTATTAGGAAGCTGAGGGGTAAGACACAAAAAAGATGTAACGTTGGGGCATCTGACTGAACTGCGGGGCTGTAGGTAATTCATGCCAAACCTCTGCTCCCTGCGCTGGTGGCAGTTGGGATGCATCGCCATACAAGATGAAACGTGGAATAGGGACACGGGAAGAGAGGATATCGGAGCAAAGCTGATGAGGAAACCCAGTTAATCAGCTCCGTGCTGAACGTGCTCATCTGCTAAGCTCAGTTGGACTAGATTTGCTCAGAGAGCAAAGCATAAACCATAATCCTTGTGCAAAAAAGGGGTAAAGGGTTTTTCCCAATAAACTTCCAAACACAAAAGCTGCTCTTTGGTATTTATGTTTGAGGAAAATGTATGTTCTGGACAGGTGTAGTCTGAGCCTTTTCCCATTCAATTCAAGGGAACTGCCCTTCTTCAGGAGAGGATCTAGTCTGAGGTCAATGTGAAAGAGAAAGTCATTTATAGGGTGAGGAGGAATACAGTGGTTAGGAAGATACAGCATAATCTCTCATCTGACTTGCAGTATTTTGGGTTGTATTGTGCATTCTGCCATGTCGCCCTGATGTGTTGCTCGTGGCATGCAGTTTGTTGCTTTTAGTTTGTAGAAAGCACCTTCTCTGTGATTATCCTTCAAGCTTGCTTGTACGCTTTGCATGAGCTTTGAAGTGTGATGAATATTCAGGGTCTCCAGAAACAACATGGAAATCCAGTTCACAATGAATTTAAAAAAATAAAATACAACAAGAAAACCAAGCAGATCTTATCTACTAGCTTCACAGCAGGCTTCTGCACGGTCAGATGTTCAGCAGTGTCCTCCTTGCAGCCGTGCATTCTTCCTCAGTCCTCCATATGCCCTTGGTGTTCAGCTGAGCTGCTGTCTGCTAACGAGAGCAAGTGCCACTTTAGGAGTGCTTTGCTCACCTTTTTCTTGGAAGTGTGTGTCTCACTTTATTTTAATAAGTTTCTAACTCTCTAAGAAGTAGAAACAAATCTTGAAACATACCTGCAAACTCTAAAATATAAAAGCACCGTGTGCTTTTTTACCTCTTAGTGTAGAAAGTATTTTTTTCTTTTCTCCACTCCTTTCAAACTTGTCTAAAGCTTGCAAATAGACATCAGTTCAAGTTCCACTTAATTTTTGTTCCATGACCCTCTTCAGTCTGTTCTTGTTTGCCAGAGGGGAGATTTACTGAATCTCAAAAACCTTAGCACAGGTGAATAATTTGACTTGTTGGTGTGAGTGGTACCACTACTGAGCCTATTGGAAAAGCTGAGGCCTTTAGGATGATGAAGAGACTTGGCATTTCACAGGTTTCCTTTGCCTATGATCTTTCTAAATCAAAGCTGGCTGTTCTGGGTACCTTTAAAAGAAAAGTCCTCTTGTATCTGAAATAGAGCAGAACTGGGGGTGGTAAAGAATAGAAGCAACCCGAGGCTAAATTAATATATTGCTTCGTGAGAGGAGGGGACGAGGCCTCTGAAGTTCACTCACTGTTCGTGTTCTGCAGGTCTGGGGGAGTGCTGGGCGCACGGAAACCCCAGAAGTTGCAAGGAGGATTAGCAGTGGGTCCAGAGTCTGGCAAGGCTCCCTAGAGACCGGCAGGTTGTCACTGCTGATTAGCTGAAGAAAGGGAGTAAGTGAACTAGAGGGATCCGTTTAGAAATCATAGCAGGAAAGCTGCTAATCCAGGCAGGGTGGAAAGGGGCGACCTTTCCGTGCCACACGCTGCGCTCACAGGGTGGCACGGAGAGCCCCGGCCGCTCTCCAACTTGCCCGGTGCAGCAGCACCGTTGGGTGCAGGGCTGTGGCTCCAGCAGGGCACCTCCAGCACCTTCCGTGTGCCCAGCACAAGTGACCCCCTCAGTCCCACAGCGTGTGCAGGCTTCTTTGCTGAGGATTTGAGGAAGGTCAGCTGCAGGGGGGGCTCCCCGTGGAAGGCTCAAAATGGCAAATTCGGCCATCCATGTCAGCAGGCTGCGGGTTGGGCCCCATGCCTGCAGCCTCACTGGAGCTCATGGGGTTGTACTCCCCAAGGAACTGCTGGCTGCTAACATCTTCCTCTCGTACTGCTGCTTGAGGCAAATAGCCTGAAGTGTACCAGACTTTTCAGGAATGGTCCTTGGTTGCTCTAGTTTGCCTTACCCTGTGGGTCATTCAGCTTCCATAGCACTGCTTTCCAAGCCACGGTACCAGCCAGGGGCATAACTCGTGGAGTGCAAATAGTGGCTGGCAGTTCGAGTTCATTGCGAGGCTGCAGAGGTGGACATTTCCTGGCCACTGCCATCCCACCCCCCAAGGAGCTGGTGTCCTGCTCTGCAGACCCACCTAATCAGGCTTACTCCAGACACTGTGGCTTGAACCTCAACCTGGGCTGGAGGACCAGGTTGGGACTCAGAAGAGGACTCAGGTTAATTGTGGGGTTTCTTTAGGGAAAGCAAGCCTCACTATAAACCTGGAAAGGAGAGGTTAACTAGCCAGGAGAAGAGCAGAGGCACGAGCGATCGCAGATGTCCTAGGTGCAGGTGTTCTCGATCCTCGGATTCTGCTGTAACTACACAGGCTGTCACTGCCAGAGATGTATTGTTCTTTCCTTCTAAATAAGTTCCCTTAAATTTGGTTTCATGCTGCTCCCAAATATCCTCTTTTCTCCCCAAAGAGACATCATGGTTTTTCCAAACATCTGTCCTGCATTTCCCTAAGAAGATAATTAATGCCCTTGTCACTCAGCCCAGCCTGTGCCAGGCACGACATTTTCTGTTAACCATTGCTCACCCGAGCAGTAGCGCTGCTGGGCTGCTGCTGGAGCTGAGCATGTCTCTGTCTTTGCAGCTGGGGCACCCAAGGAGACTTCACGACAACACACGCGCTTCCTGCAGTGAAGGTGAAGCTGTTCACGGAGAGCACGGGCGTGCTGGCACTGGAGGACAAAGAGCTTGGGAGGGTAAGGAGATTTGGAGTGCAGTAATTTTTCCTTCTGGCCCTGCTTTTCTAGAGAAATCTCTCCTGTACGGAAATATCTTTGGAGCACAACGTGCTCTGCTTTTTTGCCAAGCTTCAGGAGAGAAAGAAAGCAAGCTCTGCACTGCTGGAAAGTAATGCACCTCGCATGCTGTCTTTGTTGTTAGTTTTTAATGGCAGCATTTCAGCTGGCTGTGCCTGCACTGAGCAAAGGCAGAGGATCTTGTGTGCGATATTGGCAGTCCGGAAAGCTTTAGAAGTTGCTTACGGAAATGGACATTCCTGAGGCAGAAAAGGGGATTATGCTGAAGCAAAAAGAGAGGATTTAAGTTTGGCAGGAGTGTGTTAAGCTGCTCTCATATCTGCTGAACAGCCAGTGCACGGCTTGAGCATTTGAAAGCACTGACAGCAGTTCTCATGGCAAAAAGCTTGAAATCCTGGCTCCCCCAGGAACTGTGGCTGAGCCGTGGCTTCATTGGGGCTGGGCTAAGGGGTGAAATGGGGGGTTCCACTGCCCCTAGCAGTGGTTTTAATAGCAAAGAGCTCAGATTGCCCTGGGACCAGCATCAGAGCCAACCTTCCTGCCCCATCCCAGGCCCTGGAGCTGGTGACCCTCCAGGACTGAAGCCCACAGCTCCACAAATCTGTGGGCAGCAGTTTTCTGGGGCACTAGGACACTTCAGCTCATCTCCGTGGACTTCTGTATCCTGCAGCTGTCTTAGCCCCAAGCTCTCTGCCAGGCCTTCCTCAGCTCTCTCAACAAGGGAGGCTCCCTCAGTGGCCTGGGCTGGTGTCCCCAGTAGCATCTGGGAGCCTGTGCAACCCATGCAGAGTGCAGCCTTTTAATCCTACCAAGGAAGAAAAGCCCCAGTCCAGAGACATCCCGCAAACTGGGTATGCAAAGCTGGGAGCTCTGGCAGAAACCACACCAAGCCTGATACGGGTTTCCCAGGGCTGGCATCACAAAGGAGGCTTCACAGCCACCTTGTGGCTTCATAACATTATCGAAGAGACCAGGAACCAGCAAAATGAAGAGCAAAAGATGTTTAATCAGCAAGGGAGTAGATAGCAGATCTGTCCTTCTGAACTGCATGGTGAAGACCCCAAGAAGTGCAAGTGTGACATTTCTAGTTACACACTAACCTCTTGTTGGGATGATTCGTTCTGACCCTGCAGTCCATGGCTTTTTGGGCCTTGACACAAAAGAGTCTTTCTCTGTAAAACAAAGTTTGTCCTAATTAACATGATTTTTTAACTTATGTTGTTCATGCAAATGCCAAACATTATTTTAGGTCCTACTGAGTTGTTGATCTAATTTATATCTTTATGGTGGAGAGTACCACAGGTGTTTTTGTCTCATATAATTTGCATTAGTTTTGACTGTTTGTCTTTTCACATTCACGTAAATCCTTTGTTCTTGCACTCGAGAGAGAGAAAAGCAGAGCTACCCCTCCTTTCCTCATCTCAGTTTTCTCTTCAAAGAGAGTCACAGCCCCTCCAGACTTCCCTCATGCACAGCACGATCCTGCCTTTCTCCCCGTCCCGTTTCTTTTTCCAAAGGAGGGTGACCCCACCAGGCTGCAGCACTCCAGCCGCAGGCCTCCCTTTGCTTTGCGGCACAGCATCATAATATTTTCAGGATTATTTTCAAACCCACATTCTTCAAACAGCCCGGTACCTCCCTTTATCCACCGCAGCACGCTGAGCGGGGCTTTTCACCCAGCCGTCCTCAATGCCATTCAGGCCTTTTTCCCCCGAGTGCTTACGCTGGCTGGAGGACCCACTTGCTTTGTAGGCCTTGTTCCCGCTGGCAGCCGTGAGCAGCGCTGACTTTGCTGCTCCGGGGAAGCAATTAGCCCCGTGCCTTGTTCTGAGGAAGATGTCAGGCCCCAACGCAACCCCCCTGGCCCTGAGATGCCGAAGAGCTGGCCGTGCCAACGCGCTTGGATTCCCAGTGCCGCGGGGAGCCATCACCCAGGGTAAGCTCCTGAAACCCCAAGGAATGCGGGCCAGCAGCAGCGGACACGGGGCAACCATTTCCTCTGGCCAGCTGCCAGCGGTGCTTTGAGGCGGCCGAACTTCAAAGGGACGCTCGGGGTGCCCGAAGCGGCCGAGATGCCGCGTGTCCGATCGGGCTACATCGGGATTCCTTTTTAACGAGATAAAGAAATCAGGAGCGTGTTAAGCCCCTGATTTAGCTGTTCAAATGGGCGCAAACCTGTATGCAGAGAGAGGAGAGAAGCAAGGCTCCGAGGAGAGTTTCTACACAAAAACAGCCCATGCTTAGCCGCCCTTTTGAGAAGCAGCTTTGTGCGCTGCCAGGCGCGCACAATGCTCACTTTCTATTGCAAGTGTTGAGCTGGCAGCCGGCCGGCGCTCCTCATTGCACCACTTGTGTCAAAGGGAGAGCTGGAAATCACTCCCAAGCCCCAAACTGCTGGACGGGCAGCTGAAGCCATGGGAATCCATCCTGGCCCTATTGAGGCCAGTGGCAAAGTGCCCGTGGACTTCAGCCAAGCCAAGGCTTCATCCACCGAGAGCAAGGAGGGGAAGAGCCATGAATTACAACAGCACCGCTCAAAGTTTATGCGCCTTTTGATGAAAAAGAGTTAGAAATCAAAGTAACGAGTATCCCAAACACCCTGAGTGGCTGCTGCCTCGCAGAGAGATGAGGTTTAATGCAAGGCCATGGTCTGTGTGCTTGCCCGGCCTGCCTTGCAGTGGGGATGCCTGTATGATGCCCAGAGCCTGGGCATCCAACTTCAGCTGCCACTTCTCTAACAACACCCCGTGTACAGGACTTGCTTCTTTTCTTCAGGTTTTACTTAAATACAGTTGTTTTTTTTCCAGGAGTTAGAGGCCAGCATTGCCCGGTTAATCTAGGTAACTAGTAACAGGTTCCTGCCAGAGAAAGCACGAATGTATTCCAATAAGATGTGTTAAATAATGTTGATGAGTAAGGACAAGCTCCAAAATCTACTGATGTTAACCTCAGGCCTTGGAGGAGACAATGAAATAATTTTTAAAATCATTTATCAGAGGGTAATAGTGTCAAGAATATTTTGGTGGCAGGAAAAAAAAAACTAACTACTTTGTTGACTCTGCAGTGAAGTTGAGTATCTGGATATAACATTATAGCCTGGCTGGCGTTTGGCAGGAGCACGGAGCGATGGAAGCACAGCAAATAACAAGGATGAATGCTGCCATTTGTAAAAGAGCGTGCTTGCGTAAAGGTTAATGGATTTAAAGGAGATTCATCTCACTGCAGGACAGTGGAGACTAATAAATTTGCTCCAGGCAAAGTCACCTCTGAGAGTGAAGGTGTTGGAAGAGGAATGGGCATAGGAGGGAGAGGGCATCATTCTGGTGTGAAGACAGTTAAAGCTCTGCTGTGCTTTCCTTCACACACGGACACACGTCCCACAGTCCCAGGGGTAAGCCACATCAGAGGACACATGAGGAAGCACGAGGAGAAAACTGGGAATGCTGTGTAGTTCTCGAAGAATATTCTGTGGCTCGCTGGCTGAGGGGGATGCCCTGCTTTGGGGGGTAATGAGTGAGAGGAAAAGCACAGCTATGATCGGAAGGGATTACTTGCCTCTCGGAGCCTTTTAGTTTCTTTGATTTGCCAGGCACTTCCATTGGTATTCATCTGCACAGCTCCACTGAAGTCACTGCTGTCGCATTGATTTATCCCAGCTGGAGACTGCCCCATCATTTCCTCTCGGCACAAAATGGAAGTAGAAAGTCCTGCAATGACCACTGTCGTGGTATGTGATGCACGTTTGATCTGTTGTTGCAGTGCAGACAAACCGACCCATCTACAGTGCTGCCCACTGCAGACCAGTAAGCAAAAAATCCGATCATCTGATCTACAGAAGGTAGCAATTGATGAACCATTTTAGGTAAAATTTTGTGAAGCCTTGAAACAATACACTTCAGATGGAAATGTCAGGAAGCCTAGCAGCTGACAGTATGGCTCTGACAGTGGAGTATTGTAGGGGGTAACCTCAGCAAAAACTTGTTGCTGGTTTGCTCATCAGATCACTTCTAAGCTGGTTTACCTGCACAGCTGCAAGCTCGTTTATTGTTCTCTTTCCTTAAATGACTGCAAGATGGGAACTGATAATGCAGTTCTGTTCTGCACAAGCCCATGAACAACAGCACGGCAGATAGAGGAGCCAGAGAATATATGATCTCATCTCAAAATAATAAGCTGAACTTTAAAACAGTAAAGAAAAGCTAATCTCAGTGATGTGTGTAGTCATTTCCACACTGACTTCTAGGAGGAAGGTAGCTCATCTGCTGTGCTTTTGTTACCCAGTAAAACCCACTTTATGAACAATTTTTAATGTTGTTGATTTTGACGCTTGCAGGTTGTTCTCCACCCTACTCCCAACAGCCCAAAGCAATCAGAGTGGCACAAAATGACAGTTTCCAAAAACTGCCCGGATCAGGATCTGAAGATCAAGCTTGCCGTACGAATGGATAAACCTCAAAACATGAAGCACTCTGGGTAAGTGTCTTGATCCGAACTCAATTTGTTTTGCATGTGCATTAGAAAAATTCTCTTTTTTTAAGATTCTGCAAGAGGAATTCTATTTTTTTCTCAAGATCACAGGAGGTCAAAAGAAATTTAAATATAGAATCAGCATTAGTTCAGTCATTTATAATGCATTTTCCATATTCTTAGCTAGTCTTTTTAATGCATGTCAGTCAAACAATTTAAATTTTAAACAGCATTCCCCAGGAAATTGCTGGGTTGTTTTCTTCCTGTAAGGAAATAAGAAGCAAACTGCCTGCCTCCCTTATTGATAGGTTGGTATAATTTCCTAAATTATTCTGTGTTTCCCTGCATTGACTTCTCAGAACTAAAAAGTCAGTGCACCTTCCGCTTGAAATAAACTCCAAAGTGATCATCATTATTTATACAGAGATGCACAGTACAACTGAACAGCAGTTGCCTGCAGCAGGTCAAGAGAGTGTAAGTAGGACTAATGAAGTGGGATGTTAAAAGGGAAACCTCTCCCCTCCATATGTCAGTATCAGAGGATTTGGGGCCAGGGGATCCCGAACTGCCTCCCCTGGCCTCCCTCTTCATTCCACGCAGGGGCAGAAGACGTTGTTACATTGCAGAGCAGAAAGGAAATTTTGAAATTCAGGATTATGTAATTCCTGTGCACTTTAACTTGTCCTGAGTTGGCCAAAAGGGAATCATTCCTATCTTTTCCTGGTGCCCAAAAGCAAACACTGATATACGCTTTTCACTGGTAATGCAATTACAAATTAGATCATCCTTGGGAAGATCTAGCTAATGCCATTGGCAAGGCTTTTCTCTGTTTACTCTTCAGAGCTGAGGATGTGATAAAAAATAGAAACTATCTAGGAAAGTCACTGCTTTGATTAACTCTTTCTCCAGTGTGTTTTTGGTGCTATAAAAGTAACTACTTCATTTTTGCTTTCAGAATGTTTTGTTAGGTTCAATCCATTATTAGATGGATTAAAACACCCATCTTTCTTTTAGTTCCTTTTCCTCATCTTCCTGTCTTTTCTGCTAATGAGATCAGAGTCAGGAGCCAGATTTGGCCAGTTTAATTTTTCCACCGTGAACACAGGCACCAAAAGCAAAAAAGAACAGTTCACCTGTTATACCTATTTCTTTGACCACATCTAATAGCAATAGGGCTGAGCACTCCTGACTTTTCTCATACTGTTTTCAACTAACATTTAATTAACAAGATGGTGCTGAAAACTACATGGGTTGTACTATTAGCTTGCTTTTGTAACTGAAGTTATTTTTCTGCTGGGTTTAGTGGCAATAGTAAGACAGACAATTATTTCCCTGTTCTTGAACTCTAAGCCAAGGACTCAGTGCCCACATTAGCACAATACTTGGAGTTTTGTGGCTTGAACATTCACTAAGACTATGTACATATGTTGGATCTCTTCCTGCATAAAAAACACTAGCATAACCAAAAAGGAATTGTTTTTCTATTTATTGAGCCAGAACCAAAGTAATTATAATGATACATAAAACGTATTAGTGTTGAACAATGTCTTTGTAATTACTATTACTCTGGTGCTGCTGCTGTTTTTGCCAGTGTTTGTATTACAGTGTCACAGCAGCTGCTTCATCACAGAGATTAAATGCTAATTTTGACATTAATTTTAAAAGTTAATTCTTCCTTTGTAAAACACAGTAAATTCCCTCCTCCTTAGAAATTATTCAGTTTGCTCGTAGCCAAGCGATTTCAAGGAATTCATCTTCAGCTGTTCAGCGAAGTGACCTGCTTTAGTCAGTCTGCTGTGTGCTGGGGTCCTTGGCGCTGGTTTTGCTGCAGTAAGGTGCCCTCTGTTTGACACCTCCCCTCAGCCAAATGGTTTTGTGAAGGCTTAAAGCAACACTTGGGCTTCCTTCACTCAATTCTTCCGTTGCAAATGTATTCTGCGCCCATCTGACCACATAGTGGCTATTCACTGGCATTAAAGGGCTTCTGAATTCTGAGCAAGCTGTAAGAGACAAAAAAGAACAGAAAAATAATACTGTGTAACATCAAGACTCTGGGAGTTTTTTATGTCTCTTTCTTTACAGGTTATTCGTTCAGGCTAGAAGTAAACACACTCAGTAATGCTGCCAAGCTTGAGAGTCTTGTAATTACTCCTGCTTCTGCATTAACTTCAGTTTCGAGCTATAAAGAAAAGATACTGTAAACAACATCTTGTCACTTGTGTACTGAATTCACCGATTCTTTTCTCCTAGATATTTATGGGCCATTGGTAAAAACGTTTGGAAGAGATGGAAGAAACGCTTCTTTGTCCTGGTCCAGGTAACAGCTTTAACTAGAAGTGATCTTAAATTACAACAAGAAATAGTTAATTCTTATTTGTTATTTGTTTATCCTGACCATTTTCACTGCTGAGTAACTGATGCAGAACTGTGTTTCAGCACAGGTTCTTTGTTAATTCATAGATCTTTTTTCTCTTAAATATGTACATCTCAAGGATAGCTCAGTTGCAGTCTCTAGCTAGTTTCCTGATGCAACGCAACACTCAGTGAAATGGAGAATCAATTTTAGTGAGAAATTTAGTGACGTGAGGAGGAAACTATGTCTTGGTTGGAGGTACTTGGGTGTGAATGCTCTCTTTTGAGCCTCCAGGTAAAATTTCAAGTCCCTTGAAGTCTACAGAAGTTTCATCATTGTCTACGACAGAAGTCAGTATTTCATTCTTGATGGTTATCTTGTCCTCATACTCATACATTCATTGCTGCCTCTCATTGTCTGCAGCTATCATTGATCATTTTGCAATGTCTTTCTCCCTTTTTCCTCTCTTCTCATTTTTTTTGGATTTTGGTTTTTTTTGTTTGTTTGTTTTTTTACTTCTTCCCTCCCGGTTCTAGTATACCTGTATATTTGACCCTGGTTAATAACTTCAGGTAAACAGGCAGAAGATGTCTTATACAAGCTAAAAGGATCTGATCTGTACTTGGCATGTTGGATCTTCCTTCACCTTTCAAAGGGCAGCTGAAAGCACTGCGTAAATGACAGAAGTGTGGGGTCCTGGTTTGGGTGGCTCTATCTTCACAGCAGCCTGATAAACAACCCACGGGGTATTCTGGGGTCCTTTTCTCCCTCCCTTCTCTCTGAGTTCCCCAGGGTGTGTTGTCTCCAAGTACATGAAATGAAAACTTTGTGCGGGGTCCTGGGTGCAAGTACCACTGGGTGCAAGATCCCACAATAATGTGGGATCCGTGCATAAGATCAGGGAAGGTGCAAACCAGATGCAGGACCACATGGTCCTGAACCACCTGGTGCAAACTGGTGAGTTTGGCTGGAGTTAGTTTTAACTCCAAGTTCAGTTGTCTCAGTAGGAAGCTCACTTGCGGTTTCTCCATCACTGCTGGCTTCCGTAGCCCTAATCCATGTGGCAGATAAGGAAATCCATCCTGGGGTGGCAAAAGGGATGTGTGACTGCATGACCCACACAAACAGAAGCCTGCTTGGACCGACCAGCTGCGTACCTAGTGCAACAACCAAGTTCAGTCAGCAGGGCCAGTTGAAGTGCTTGCTTTGTACTCCAGGTGGGGTAGGGATGGCCTCAAAAGTGAGGGAGTTAGGGTAAAGAGCCACAGGAGATGCCTTTATGTGCCCAGGAAGTATATTTGCATTGAGGTAAAAATGGTGGGTGTGGGGTTGTTGTAATCCATTCCCAGCGACACCTGGTTTGCAAATGGTCCCCCTGCAGGGACCAGCTAGATCCTGGGTGGGTGCTTGGCACCTTGTGGGGGAACCCAACATCTCTCAGGGCTAGGCTGCCAGAAGGGGATCCCAAAGAGCCAGCAGAAGCCATAATTTAGGAGGAGCCTTTGGGGAGTGTTGTACAATGACCCTGTTCTTGTGCAGGAGCTGAGGGATTGCTTGTCTTTATTAAGGTCTGTGCTGAAGTTAAAAGTGCTGTGACAGAGTGTGATCACCTGTAAAGCAGCTGGTATGGCTTGTACCTGGGAGATAACTCATGTCCTGTAAAACAGGCTCTCAGGGCCTTTTCCCTGTGAGCAGGGTTCTCCAGGGCAGGGCCCTTCTTCAGAGAGGGCCTGTGTGTGACAGGACAATTCCTCTTTCCTCAAATAGCTTCCCCATAAATAAATATATCAGTACTCCCGTGTGTGAGGGTTTGCAGGTTTGGGCATTAATCCCCACGTCTCTCTCAGGAGCCTTTTGTCCAGCCTTTCTGTAGGGCTGCAGTTACAGCTCTCTTTTTTAGCTGCCATATATTTCTCAGCTTGCAGTGAAATTTAACTGCTCAGTTATTCCATGTTTTCTCCTGTTACTAGGTCTGTATTCGTCAGTTGGCATATACGAGCAGAATTTGGCCAGGAAAGCAGTTCATTTGAATAAGATGAGCAGACTTTTGCCCCCAGAGAGTCTCTGTAGCCCACCTCAGAAATTCCAGCTGCCGCTGCAGCTTCTCTGTTATGTTACCGTTTGCTCAACATTTGGTGCAATGTAAAGTGTTCTGCCGTACATCAAATATAAACAAGAAACACTCTCTATGCAGTCCCTCAGATGTAGTTTGAGCATATTGAACATGTCAGCAGGCAATAAAGATGGAATAAAAATACTTTGCTGTCCGTATGTTTGTCATTTGCTTTTCATGCAATGCAAAGGATGGGTGCTGATATGAACAGGGATTGGCAGCAAAGGTGTTGATGTCCAGAATGCTCTGAACTCTGCCGAAGCACAGACAGGGAATAACCCTGGCAGGAAGGTGAGCTGGCTTACTTACAGAAAGAATGGGTGAGGAGCAGCCTGCGTTTCAGGAGCTCAGGCATCAACACCAGGCTCCTGCTGGCACCAGAGCCAAGAGTTAGATCCCATAGAGTCCCTGTGGGATGTTGTGGTCTGTGCGTGACACGGCCAAGAGGACAGGGACCTAAGTCTGGATGAATAAATGTTTCCTTTCTCATCCCTTATCTCTAGTCCCTTACCTGTAGCATCTTCTGCTGCAGCTCCACCTCCTCTCCCCTCCCTCGTGGAGTAACCTCATCCTGCAGGTCCCGTGTCCTCTCCTGCCCCACTTTCCCCGTTTCAGGTGGAGGCAGCTGGTCCAGCCTCGGTTCCTTCAGTGCTGTGCAGTGGTGTCTTGTGCCAGAGGTTAAGAGATTCACGGTAATAAATGCTCAGACTCTTCCTAGCCATCTAAGCAAGGCTCAAAGGTGCCAAGCTGCATAGGCGGCACCGTGGAGGAAGGTGTTGATGGCAGTTTGGCTCTTTTCTGTCAGTGATGCCTCGCCGGGATGAACGGGGGCTTTGCACACGTACATGGAAAAAGGAGCTCTATGGGGAGCGTTCCCACTGCGACTTGGCTTCTGTAAGCCCTGGAGAGAAGGGGAAAGGAGCAATAACTCACTTGTAATTTGGGTGGAATAATCCCTCGCACCTTCTGTGTCTGTGTAGCTGCGAAGGCAGCACAGGAGATGGTTTGTTTGGGTGTAGTGGGTGAGAGCAGTTCCTTTGTGCCACTGCTGGAGCTGGGCCCTACCTCTTCAGCACATGCCTTGCTGGGTGGGCTTCATTCGCCCCCCGGTGAGGGTGGGCAGCACGGAGCAGCTTGCAGAGCCGGTGCATGCGCTCCTCCAGCCTGCACCCATGCGACGGAGGGGATAGTTTCCTCTTTCGAATGAATCGCAGTCCTCTCTGCACGCTGCCCACCCTTCTCGTAGACACCCTTTGAGATGAGCAGCAGAAGAGCAGAATACTGATTAGATGTAAATTACATGGCAGAGACTCGTTACTTGCCTAATTTTAAATCCTGAGATATGCAGCGTGAAAGCGATGGCAGAATATGGCCCTGAGCTTGGATGGAAATGGTCCGCAGCATCGCAAGTGAGGAAAATGCTTCGTAAAGGCAGCAGTCATGCCAGTGGCGGTGGTAAGCGAAAGCAGTGGGACAATTTAGGGCAGCGTTCTCTGTGACTGGTTAGGAAAGAAGATGTGCATCCAGCACAGATGTTACGATTGTTTCCTGAGTTGCTATATCGGCTGCCTGAGCACAAGATACAATTTTCAGCCAGTTTGTCAATTGGACCCTTGATCACACGAAAGCTGGGATTTCTGGGAGCTGACAGAGCCTGTATTAATTCTTTGCAAGGTCTAATGTCCTCTGCTGGCAACAACACTACTGCTGCTTTTGGTGGGCTTGCCAGCTTTGCAATAGGAAATCTTTAATGATTCTTGAGGGCAAATGAATTAATTACATTGAGATTTCAGACTGAATCTGTTTTACTCTTGTCATAACCCCGTTTCTGTGCTCTGGCAGCATATGGGAAGTAACACTCCATGGTACCTGGATGACATGTCTGCTGAGTAGCTTGAAGCAGTTTTCAGCTGATTGTGTCTGATGGTGTTTGCAGAATGCTGTTGGAAGCAGCTCAGCTCTCTGCAGATTAGAACCAGTTGCAGTGTCTTCGCCCGGATCTATTGTTCTGGTGACAGACTCCCTGCGCTCATTATAATTTAGACTAATGGTGACAGCTCCTGCTTTTAGCAAAACGCAGCTGACTTGGGATAAAATGAAATGAAGTAAGTACTCAGTAACTCCAAATAACCAGCAGAACTGGAAAATAATTCGGCAGAATTGCAGTTTGCTACACCAGCAGTCCTAGACGGTGGTCCTCAGGTGAAGGTGAATGACCCATAGTGGTCCCCATAATCTTATTAAATCATGTTTTCAGTAAGACCCTCACTAAGAAGTGGGCGTAAGTGGTGATTCCTGAGAAACCCTTGGGTGTTGATGATACAAAATGTTTGGGAACTGCTGGTTAAACAGCCACACGGCTGGTTACACCTGGCTGAAGCAGATCCTGCTGTCCCGTCTGCACGGGGCGAGCTGCTGTAGCGGGCATGGCTTCCCATCCCGCAGACGTGCCCGAGGACAAAACACGCACCCCTCCCGCTTGGAGGCTAGGGCAACTGCTATGTGCAATTGTTTAGGGATGAACGGATGTGCTGAGATGCGAAAACTGTTGTTTTCACATTTGTTTCTTTAAGCCAGATCATTTCCTCTGCTCATTTGTGTCAGTAAAGGGCTCGGGAGGCAACATACAGCTGCAACCAGAGGACAAGAGCCTCCCATCAAAGTGGAAAGCTGTATTACAACTGGCAGTATCTTAGCACAGTTTCTCTCCCTTGGGACAAAATGCATGCTGTTAATCTAGGAAAGGTCCATTTAAGAATTTAACCCAAGCGGGGCGGTGTTATGTCAACACAGGGAAAGGGGGAAGCGAATGACTGAGCTGTGTGGTGCTCGCAGTGCGAGGGATGACAATTAACAGGTCTGAGCAGGATTCTCGGGCACGTGGTGCTGGCTAGGGCAGGAGTACTTGGTGGAAAAACGGGGATGAAGTCAGTACTGGTTAATACATATCTACTGTATGCATTAATCAGTCGGGTTATATAGCCGGTGACAGAATATGGTCAAGTGCCAAGAAAGTCAGATCTAATTTAGCAGTCTGGGAATAGTGAACTTTGGCATTTGTCTCCAGCTGTCTGTTTCCCCTTTTCTCAATTTCTTTGTCTTTTTCTTTTTTTTTTTTCCCACTTTGTTCCTTCTGTTCTTCTGTCTCAAATTATTCTTCAAAGCATTTTCCCTCTTTTTGTAAGGAACCAGCCAGGGCAGCCTTGGATTGTTTCCCTTCTCTTAGTTTCGTTCAGTTCAGCTTCCCTAGATGCTCCTTTCCTGGCCCTCATCTCGTCCCTGGATGAAATCCCAGTTGCTTTGAGAGTTTGTCCCTCCCTGGGCAGAGATTTCTCCTCTGTCTTCCTTCGGTTTCCTCTCTACCCGTGTTTTTTTCAATTACTCAAACCATTCATCTCGCCCATCCCATCTGCTCGCTCTCATACTCAGCTATGGTTCAGTGTGAACTCAGCAGGCTGTAAGATTAATTTCTGCTATTAACTGTTTCACTTGTCTGGCCACTTCTAAGCTGCTGCCGAAGGCAGGCTCTGTAACGCGCGGTATTTTAGGGGACTGATGAGAGGCAAGCTGCAATCTCCACTTGACCCTGCAGCACTGCTCAGCAGCAAAGTGAGATTGGGACGTACCTCCTAGGATCTCATTTTGTAGGATTTTTCGTTAACATCACTCAGAAATGGACAGAGCCACATCTCTCTGGTAGCCAGGGCATCACTTCTGACCCCAAGCAGTAAAGCTCTAGGCTGCAGGATGTGGCGTGTCAGCCCTTGAAGCTGCTAGCTCGAGTTGTTTCGGTGCGGGCACTCTGCATGGCAGAACTGGCTCCTTTTCCAGAGGACAGCAGCAGCAAACAGCTGGCTCCTCCCTCCAGCCTGATCCAAGCCTACTGCCAGGCTCGTGAGCAGCCCCTTGGGCAACCTGGGGCTTGGGCTTTGTGCTCGAGCTGCGTTAGTGGAGCAGCAGTTGGACGTGATCCCAGAGGAGCCCTGACTCCACACATGTTGTAGACTGGCCTGTAGGTCTCTGTTGGAGATTTCTTGTAGTAACGATGTAGACCAGCTTCTTCCAAGGAAACCAGGTGGATGCTAGCAGGAGAGGGCAGCTTGCTTTGCACCTATCCCAGCGTGGCTCTGCCAGTCTTCCATCGACATCTCTCTTCTGTAACTTTTAACATGAGAGGTGTAAGCTGTGAAAAGCCTGTGTGTGTTTCTGTCCATTATGGTTGTGCTGGTCTGGCTGCCTTATTGACAGAGATGAATAGTATTTGCTGGGTCCAAAAATGAGATTTGTACGTGAGGAGGAGCTGGAAATTCAGACTTCATCTTCAGAGCCAGAGCGGAAGAAACTGACCTACTGAAAGGACTTTACCTGTTGCTAAAAGTTGACAGGATTAAAAAAGCATTACTTGTATCAATGTTTTCCATCAATGTCAGCGTAGATTAGCAGTGAATGGTTTCAGGAATTGAATTTATCTTGCAGTCCCTGAAGTTCAGGCTGTCTAACGCAGAGAAACCAAACCCCTGCCATTCAGAGGAAAGCAGCAGGAGCCTGTCGTAAATAAAACTCATTCAGGAGTTTGTCCAGGAGATGGCAGCAATACACTGCAAGTCTGACTGAAGGAGCAGGAGTCGCCTGAACGTTGTGCTGAGGGGCACTAGGTTATTTTTAGATTTCTTCCCGTTAATCTTTTTAATTTTCGTGTTGCCGGCACGAGGGTACGCACGCAGGGTTCAGAGCACGCGATGTGCAGGTGTGCTCCTGCTGTTGGCCCGCTACGTGTCAGTCCTTCAGCCGAGCTGGTAGCTCTGAGGAAGATGCAAGATGCTGAAAGCATCACTTTCAGTCCTACTCCCACAGACGTGTTAATGATAGGGTTTATTCTTAGGTGGTTTCTGGAGCTGTTCCTGGAGGAAGGCACGGCGCAGGCAGGGGCTGCTGAGAGCAGGCTGGCAGCTAGCGGAGGCCCGTAGAGGGCAGCAAGATACCGAGCGGCGGCTGGGGATGCTGAGCCAATAGACGGCTCCCCCGATTTAAATAAATGGCATTTTATTAGCGATAGATGCCACCAAAATATATGCTGGATGTGTATTTATAACAGAACGGTTCCTCTGGAGTTTGGAGGCAAAATCCCCCAGCTGCTTGCTTGGTGCAGAGGGAGCAGCTGCTCACGTGAAGCCCATCTTTCAGGATCTTTCCCGACTCCCAAAAAATGACGAGTACGATCCTCTGCCACCCACCAGAGTTTTAAAGACCCCCTCGGAAGCCAAAGTTTCCTCCAGAGGTCAAGAAGATGTCCACCCTAATAAAATTACGTAAGGCGTCCGAGATGTGACACAACCTTCCCGAAGTCACTTGAAATCATTTGACAGTAAATTCCCCCCGTGAGTTCCTAGCCTGGAGCACGGAGAATCCTCTCCTCCCCTCTCTCTCCTCTTCTCTCCTCTCCGGCCGGGCTCCTCGCCGCCCATCCAGATCGCGGGGAGCGCGAGCGGGGCCTTGATGCGGGCTGATGGCCTCCCGACGGCGATGGGAGGGCCTGGCAGAAACCCCGCAGCCCAGTCGGCTTCCGTCAAGAGCTTGACATTGAATGCGTCGTGTCATGCAGATGGTACCTCAGAGGAGTGAGAGCTGCCATTTACAGCACTGATGACAACAACTGCCGAGATCAGTGGGATCTTAAGATTGCTTTAATATGACTGGCACCTAGCAATTTAGCTCGCATTGTTTGTGACAGGGTGTCACTCTTGCACTTGTCTGGGGATGAGTGATAGAGTTTTTTAAAGCGTGGCGCTCCCTCGTCGGGAGGAAATTAAACCCCTGTATGCACCGATGCGGGGAATTAGGTGCCTGCCTCGGCAGGGGATGGTAAGAGAGTGCTTCGAGAAAGCGTGGTAAAAGTTTAGTGTGTCTCATCAGCAATGACCACTGAAATGACCCCACACCCCCCAGTCCCCGTAAAACACGTTCATAAGCAGCTCGGATTGCCTTGCCGTGGTCACCCGGTGCCATCTTAGCTTTGTGATTTCCTTCAGGTTAGTCAATATACGTTTGCTATGTGCAGCTACCGGGAGAAAAAAGCCGAACCTCAAGAGCTGCTGCAGCTCGACGGATACACTGTGGACTACACCGACCCGCAGCCAGGTAGGGCGGCCGGTCGCTTGCTGCCGCTCGCGGCGCTGAACGCAGCTCCCCAGCTGGGATCCTCCCTCCCTGCTTGCTGCTGAACTGCAATCAGCATTTATTGTAAATATGTTTGTGTTTAGACTGATCATTAGCTATGCATGACTTTCCTATAAATAGATGGAAGGAGTTGCACAAGAGGAGGGGAAGACTCGTCTTTTCTGGGGAGCCCAAGTGAATTAGATGCGTACATCCCAGTGCAATTTGGCTGGGAACTGAACGCACAGATTGAGTGATAATCCCAACCTCTGCCTCCAGATTATATTTCTAAATAAAAGGTTAGCAGCTATGCCTGTCCATTCTGTAGAAAATATTTTTAGGACCAACCCAGCATTTTTGGCTGTCCTGTTTTCCCTCTGGTAGATGCATGTGAGGGGAAGGGGCAGGAAGGCCCCTGGTACCTGGAGGTGCCTGCTTGTGTACGTGGTGCTGGGACACTCCTTCAAGTGGAGGAGCACCACGTTTCTTTTATTTCAGTGGGGCAACACTGAGTGTGTTGATCCTCCCCATGTCCTGGATAATGGTGTCCCCCAGAGGAGACGATGATAGACGTAGTAGGTTTGTGGTCAAGACCTTGATTCCAGCTTTATTCTGATGGTGGGGAGATGGGAAGAAGGGCATTGAATTGGGGCAGAGATGGAAACGAGCACCCAGCCAAGCAGTTCTCGTGCAGGGCAAGCCCTGGGTTCGGTGGGGGGCACCCAGAGCGGTGGGGCTGTGGGTGGCCGGGGAATGCCCATTGCCAGCCTAAAGTCTGTGGAAATTTGGTGCCACTTTCAAAGCCTGCCTTCCTCTCCTGGCAGGTTTGGAAGGCGGCAGAGCATTCTTCAACGCTGTGAAGGAAGGAGACACGGTGATTTTTGCAAGTGACGATGAGCAGGACCGCATCCTGTGGGTCCAAGCCATGTACCGAGCCACAGGACAGTCTCACAAACCTGTGCCGCCTACCCAAGTGCAAAAGCTAAATGCTAAAGGAGGAAATGTTCCCCAGCTAGACGCCCCAATCTCTCAATTTTGTAAGTAACTAAGTTCTCTTAGAGGGCAGAAGTCTTTGATGGAAAGATTTTCTGCATTGATATAAATCAGTATTCACGCACGTGTTTTTGATTCCAAAACAGTTCTTTTTCATTATCATTAAGCTGCTTTTTACATCAGTGGATCCAGAACCAGTTAATGTGTGTGTTTAACAAAACCAAGCCCAATAAAACAAAATTCCTTGGGAAATTATCGATGATTATTTGAAAGTGCAATACTTGATAAATAAGAGACTCAGATCTGAGATCCCAAGACCCCACTTGCTTTCTGCAGACACCCGTTTTACCCCACCCAATAAACTGCAGACCGAGATCAGAGCAATTCATTAGTGCCATTAGTTGTCTATCAAATGTATCACGTGCTCAGAACTACAGGTGCAAATCTCGCAAGTATGAAATGCGCACAAAAAAAAAGAGGTCTACTGTTGAATATTCAACTGTAGGAAAACATATGGTATTTTTAACAGGTTGCTTTGCAGGCCAGTTAGATGTGAATTTAAAGCAATCATCTTTTAAGTTGTAGTTATGCAGCATGTCCTGTGCAGTTATACCCAGTTCTGTTAATTTCAAATTTAGACCAATTTCTTTTGTCTTGAAAATGTAGTGTTCTCTTTGCTCATTTTTTTTTGATGGTACCTTGATAGCACATCTCAAATCCCTTTGTGGTGTAACATACAGCACTTCTCGTTCATTTCAGCAAAAGTGAGGAATTAGTATGATAAAATAGAACTAAAATAAGGAAAAGTGCAAATATTAGTAAATTCTAATTAGATCAGATTTAAACAGTTAAAATAGTCTCTAGGAGGCTGTTACGATTCTTAATCCGTTGTTATAAGGAACCCAGAAAATCTACCCCTGACTTACAAATATTAAAGCATCTTTTTATGGGTTTAACTTCTTCATGTCAATATTTTTTATAATAACAATGCAAGACATATATCTATACAATCAAGTTTACAGCAGAAAACAGCTGTTTGCCCTTTTTGTGTGTGTGTCCTCCACATGCCTGCTTATTTTGGACTTCTGTCTGCCCCGCGTTGCTGCTGCTGTGAATGAGGATGTAGCATGATGCAGCTTGGTAGACACATAGACAGTGTTTCCATTTCAGTGCCCCTCATCCTGTTCATCCCATTCAAGTAACTGGTTTGGGGGGGGCAAAAGGTGTAAAGGATTGGGATCAGGGGGGAAGAACGCCTCTCAGAAAGCCAAGATGGGAGGTAGGCATTGGCTTCCTACAAGTGGGTTGTGTTTACCTCTACCCAAAATGTTGAGTCAAAAAGTTGTAGGAAATACCAGGCACTTTGTGCTGGAGTTTATGGAGTTTTCATTTTGCCAGACCCATACGTGGGGTCTCCTGGGTGAAGAGAGGAGTCCTCTTTCCCAGACACATGGTAATTGCCTGGCAGCACCCACAGAAAAAAGCCTGCCAGGATTTTGGGGGAGGAAAGGAGGTGCTCAGGGCCATGAGGTGTTGTCACCCTGCACAGCCAAGTGCTGTGTGAGTGAGGAGAGCCAAACCCAGACTTAGGTTCCCTGGGAGATTTCACCCCTGGACCTGCAGGGCATCTGGGGGTCAGGATCTGACCTGTTTCCCTCACTCGATAGCAGCTCCAAATCCAGATCATTCAGCCTCTTCATTGCCTCTTTCCATCAGCAATGTGTCTTCCTCACAAGCTGGGTGGCTTCAGGCTCCCCTTTTTGCTGGGAAGCCCTTCCAGCTGTGTTGTGCCAAAGCGTGGAAACCACTCAGCTCCTCACCCTGGTCATGACTTGCTTCTTCAGCATCCCCTGGGCCGTGCAAATAGTGCATTTGTTCCTCGGTATTCCTTCCTCCTCCTGCCTGGGATCAGGATCCCTGTGGAACCTCTTGGTGCACCAAGTCTTCATCCTACAGGAGAAGGAGGGATGCATGCCGCAGTCTCCCTTCATCTCAACAGCAAGGCCTGCTCGTTTTTCATATTTTAATGTATGTATGCAGCGATACTCATTGAAAAAAGTCATTGGGCACAGCAGCTTAATAAGAAGCAGCAGAAGTGAATCATGCATGCCACACATGATGGCTTATCAAGAGTCTTAAATACACAAATACACATCTCAGCTCCTTCAGTCTTGAAATTCAATCTTATCAAGTATTGCATTTTTAAAGGGTCTTGGTTTGTTACTGTTTTTTGTTGTTTTTGTTTTTTTGTTTTTGTTTTCCTTAAATTATTTTTATTTTTCGACCTGCAGAAAGGTAAGGACTTTTGCAAGACATTTCGTTTATCTTTATATGTGTCATATTTTTGTGCTTATTAGAGGCTGTGATAAATGAAGGATTTGCAAAGAAGTAAATGTTAAGCAGTTTGATGAGTAACCGTTGTCCTAGCATTCATGTTGTAGCAGTCCGAGATGGCACATGCGCATGCATGCACATGCAGAGAAAATCCAGCCTTCCACTCCTGTAATGGAGCTGTCTGTTAAACAAACTTGAGAAGAACATATTTTGCTGTTTGAGAAACCTGGGAGCAATAGTGAATTCATGAGGTTCCCGCCTCATTTGAATTAGTAAAGACAAACTCAGAGCACTGCTGAAATTCTCATCAGGCATCCGATAGCAACACTTGTCTTGGAAGTAAGCAGACAGCTCCGAACAAGGGTGGAATATATTTTATTTGCGTTTGAAGTACTGAAAAAATAGATCCTGCTATTCATTAATTTTTGTATGACTACAGTCCTTTTTATGTGGGTGAACAATCCCTGTTAGAGTGAAAAGTTTTGCTTTTTTATTTTGCTACAATTTGAAAGAAAAAATCCATTACCGCAAAGTTGTGCTTTTCTCCAATATTTGCATTATAAAAGAAAAAAAAAAAAACTGTTCTTGTTTACTGTTGAAATCATGCACAGTATTATGGTCAATAATGCTGCCAATACATACTACACCTTTTGGCAATATTTAAGCTTCATAAAAGTGGTCACTTGTCTGAAAGCACCAATCTTTGTTCGTTCTGTGTTAGTGATGCATTGAACAAAATTCCCAAACATGCTCAACATTCATTTTTTTTTGAAACCGTTTTCTTTTTAACATTGAAGATTGGTCAGTAATTGTCTTACCTATCACTTGTGGTTATATTTCATTTTTAATGTCTGTTTATATTTAATGACCATATACACCATATACAAAGAGTTGGTTGTTTTGCGAATTTGTAATGATTTGTTCCCCCATAATAAGTAGCTAGGTTTATTGAGCTTCATAAGAAATTTTTCAGCTGTGTTTTATTTTTGGTTGGTTTGGTTTTCTTTAAGTTTCTTTTTCATTCTTTGCTTGAACCCAAATATTTAGCTGCTAGGTTAGGGCTCCTGTCTGCTTTCCTGAGCCTTGTTGCTAGTCTTTATGTTATTCTGGTTTGTTCCTTCTTACCCTGCTAACTTCTAGCTGGACTCAAGGGTAAGTGCTTCCCTGTAGCTAGCACAGCTCAGATAATCAGACTAGATTATCTGACATATGCAATGTGCTTTTTCTTCTCTTAAATCTTTCTCATGTTTAGATTTTGTAGTACAAACTTTCCATGTTATTTTCCTGAATTTAGGTTTGAAATGTAAGTTTCCATACTGAAATTAGGATGCATGTGATGTTTGCATAATTGCCTTCTCTCCCTGGCTTTCACATTGGCATCAAGTGATCCTCTTAGTAAAGCCAATCATTAACATTTCTATTTTTCATTCCGAGATGTAAATATCAATTAACATCACAATAAAACTGTAAATAATACCTTCTTTTGTTTCATGGAATTTACATCTAGTTGACTGCTTACTGCCTGAAAACAGATCATTTTGCACTCTCACAATTTCCTTTCCTTCCGTTCCGATGCCAAGCTTGGTGCAGCGCACCAGCGTGCGGGGCTAACCACGGACTCCTCAAAGCCTAGCAAGGTAGGGCAGGAGGCCCGACGAGGTCTAGACAAGGTGCAGGACTCCACAGAAGCCAAAAAATGCCCCTCCGCCTGCACGCATGCCTTGTGAGAGCAAGCCTGAGTCACCCAGGTTTGGTAGTTTCCTCTCACGTCAACACAGCAGGGGATGATTTTGGCAGCGAAATACGTCAGGCACGGAGGGGCTGCTGCTGCTCCCCCAGATAATTGTAAAAACATCTTTTATTCGGGGTCTCAGCCAGCAATCAAAGCAACGTTTGCTAAAGGATAAGGCAGAGGAAATACTATTTTGTCCTGTATCGTTACCTTTACCTACTGGGACACCTGCTTTCAAAAAGCTAAAAGCACAAACTCATGCTGTAAAAGAGCTTCCCTTTAGTCTTTGTTCAGGCGTAAACACATACTTAAATACACAAATCCTCTATTGGTGCCAAAAGCTTGCTTCTCTAATACCTGGTGAGTGCCTGCTTTCCTTAGGAGGGAATAGCATCAGTGGGTCATGAGAGCTGGCAAATATGTATCCAGAGTATCTGAATGCAATTATGAGAAGGAACAGGTGGTGTCATCCCTCCTGGCCATCAATCGAGACTCCTTTTTTTCTCCTTTCGCCTTTTGTTTCTTTTTCTTCTTTTTTTTTTTTCTGTGTGTGAGTATGTGCGTGTGTGTAACTATACCCCTGGGTAGCAGGCAGAATTCCTTCTCAGCAGACACTTCCTTTTTTCTTTCTTTTTTCTTTTCCTAAATGTTTGGATTTCCAAAGAGGATTCTTACCAGACTTTACCGCAAAAAGTTTAATTTGATGGAAATACAGATTTTTGCCACTTTGAAAGAAAGAAAGAAAGAGTGAACGAATGAATGAACTTGGGTCTGGCAACATTACATGTATTTGCACTACAATGCATTGCTATCCTGTTAGATTTTTTTATTGTTTTTGTGCTTTAATTGCTTTATTTTTGTTAGATAGATAGAGATATCATGAGAACGCTGCTGTGTCTTCTGTATTGTCAACTTGCAGAGGCTTCATTGCAGGAATGCAGAATTAAAATGTTACTTCAGTTCTCACACAACTTGCAT